CGGATCACTTAATTCCGTATGGGCCAGTCGAGTGATGAATTGAATGGCGTGCATTTTTAGCATATCTGACGAAGTCAGATGCAGTTTGTAGTTGTAGAATCGCATGAGCATGCGTCCGTCCGTCCGTCCGTCAACAGTTGGGCACAAATCTTGCCTGCTCGGACGTACGGTCACGATATTTGAGACGTTGGGGGGGGGGATCGTGTAGACCCTGGTGGTTCAAGTTAGAAGACTGGATACCTGTACATTGCAACACAGAGCATCAGTGTCCACACATAGACAGCGTGCGACACAGAGACAGTTCTCGGAATATTTGCAATGAAGTTACAATTCTAATTAGCTTGCAAGAACACCTCAATGCACCTGAGCCGCTTAATTCTATTGGCCCTAAAGTTGTCGACTCTTCGCTGGCAGCTATGGATCCGTGCGCCGGCCTATGCATTCGGCGCACGGATCATTAGCTGCCAGCATGCATGTCGCGGCACGACTTCCCGCGGTCGCGTGCCGCCTTGCTTGCGGAAACTGCGGCAAGATTTCTGCGCTTTATTAAGCGCTAATGGGATAACACCTCTTTTCGGCAACGCGCTTCTTAGTATCCGTCTCATCTGGAATCCGCACACGAGTCCGCCTAACTACTCTTCTCGATTTCTCTCGCACCCTCAAGTATCCCCGCTCGTAAATCTGCTGCCTGCCGTTTTTCTCCCGACTGAGCGTCTCCGAGAGCACCGCAGTAAGCACGATCTAATTAGGTACGTATTATTGTAATTCGGTCATAGTTCTGTGTGCGTGTGTAGCCATAATGTCTAGTCCTTCTGTGTACTTTGTAAATTGTAGTAGTAGAGTGTATTTCGTCGATGTAATAGAACAAGGCAGAGAGTAGCATCACATTTCTGAGTTCGTGTCATCTATCAGTGCTATCTTATCTATCTATCGCGGACGCTATCGACGCAACCTGATACTACCCTACAGAAACGGGTGCCACGAGCGCACCTACTAAACCGTAGAATTAACCTAAGCAGCGGGAAGCTGAGTGGTTCCTTAGAATCGTGAAAAAGACTCAGGGTGACAAATTTGTGGGGTCAATGGTCAAGGTCAAGATGTGTAAACGGAGGGGGAATATTTCCGCTAGAGATAGTAGACTCTAGGATTTACTGCATACAACCGTACTTACTTATAACAAATCGTCTATACCCACATGTATTTGTCACCGATACCTAATTTAATTGTTATCGCACATTACACATCAATGCTTTGAAATTTGAACAGCGCCATGACACTCGCGACCGTGCGGCCACCCTGAAAAAGTTGCGTACTTGCCTATTTATTTTGCACGTTACAGACCGAGGGCTAATCACAAAGGTGCAATTATATTCATACCTATAAATGCTATGTTTATTGACTTTGGCAAAGGCAAGATAAGGTAACCGTTGAGTACCTAATTGTCAAGAGTTACAGTATCAACGTAATCATACTGATATAGATGTAGATAAATATTAGATATAAATGTTATATGTAGATATCAACGTTGCTTGCATATGCGCGTAGCCTGAGGGCGTAGCCAGCGTCGAAAGTTTGGACGCCGCGTTGCGAAATCGAATGTACATTTCAATCGATGACGTAACTGATACAGTAGCGCGCGCGCTGTGGGTGTTATTTGTTTATAAACAATTTAGTCTGACTCGCATCTCGCCCTCGCTCTCTCTCTCGCTCTCTCTCTCTCTCTTTCTTCTCGCCCAACATCTCTCTTCTTTCCTCTCTTCGCTCTCTCGATCTTGCAATAAAAAAATGTTTGCTGAAATTATGTGTACGCAACTGCGTATCTGTATATCTGTACCTAACAAAGGTGTCACTACGCACGATTGAAATTTTGAAGTTTATAACTGTAGCAAACAGACGCTTAGATGAGCCCAGTCGCCTCTGCGGCTCTTGTTTCTTACTAATTCTCCTCTGCCTGCCTCCTTCATTTCTTACCCTCCCCCTCGATCATTTTTCTCACTTCCCCCTCTCGTCTTCTTTCCCGTGCTACTTTTCTTATTTCCTCTCTTGCTGCTTTTGCTGCTCCTCTTTTGCTCCTCTCCTTTCTTTCTTCCCCTCCTATTGTCATTCCTCCTCTTGTTACTGGGTGGTGCTGCTGCTGGTGGTTGTACTCCTCCTTCCCACACCACCACCACCCCCTTCTCCTCCCCTTTCTCCTCCTCTTCCTCTTCCTCCTCCTCCCCACCACCTCTTCCTTCTTTCTCCTCCGCCACCTCTGCCGCATGCTCTTCTTTATCATCCACCTCCCCTTCCTTCTTCGCCCCTCCTACTTCTCCTCTCCTCACCTTCCTCCTCCTCCTCCTCCTCCTCCTCCTCCTCCTCCTGCTCCGTCTCCCTTTCCTCCTCCTCTTCTACCTCCTCCTGCCCCGTATCCCTCTCCTCTGCTCCTCCTCACCCTCCTCCTTCTCCTTCCCTCATCATCCTCGTCCATCCTCATACCGTATGGTTCTAATCCTCTCTCCCACTTTCACCCCTCACTCCACTCCCTTCCCTGCTCCCAAGCGACATGTTGCCAGCCAGCTAGACAGTATCAGGGTTTAATATTCAGATTTAGGCACTGCCTAAAAGCGGAGCTCCCGACGTCATACCACGTGACAATTGTGTTACACCCTGCCCCTAAGACACAGACATATGGATTTTTTGCAGGATTCTTCACTGCGTTATCTGCTCTTGACGAATGAGTTACATTTAAAGTCCAGGACGTATCCAACCCGTACAGCCCGTAAGATTGAGAGGATAGGCTTATTGTGCAACTTGCTGTGGGCAAAGGCTCGTCGGCAAGCAATTAAAACTTAGTGCCGCGGCTTTGGCGGCTGGATATGCTTAGGGCGAGCCCCGGGGAGGCAAAGCCACCCTAGGGGGGGGGTCTGGGGGCATGCCCTCCCGGTGAAATATTTTGAAATTATGCAAGGCCAAAATGGTGGCGCTCTGGTTGCATTCTGAGATTTGTTGATTTAGCACAAAAAGTGTTTTCACTGTAATTTTTAGAAAAAATACATGATGATTTGGAAAGATTTGTTGCTTAATGAAATTAAAATATTCAATAATGGACGCAAAAACTCCAAACATTAATTTTTTCTACTTTAACGCAGTGGAATCAATCTTTTGGTAAAAACTTCCTGGAAAATACGATTCTCACATTTCAAGACATGCAGACAATTGTTATGGTGCTCACAAACGAGATGTTATATTTCGTCATGAAATCTCGGCTGACGGCCTCCGAGCGAAGCATGCTCCCTCAATATACACGCAACGGCATGCTGCTGCCATAGAATCCAGGAGTAGACGGTTGAGCAGGAGGAATGGCTGTGCCAGAGTTCTGGATTATAAAATTTATAGCTACAGGTGACCTGAGGGGCATGTACAGTGATTTGGACCAGGGGGGGGGGGTGTCTAAGACGTGAAGACCATCCCAGCTAAAGCAAAGTCTTATGTTCCTTGATGTTATGGAATTTGTTTTCTTTAGGTTTAAATTATTCATTTTAACGTTCTAATTTAACCGTGTTTTTAGGAAGTTTTCCTGACATTCTGAGAGTTCTGCACGCGGGAATGGGGGGGGGATGTGGGGGCTCCCCCAGAAATTTTATTGGAATATAAGACCCCTCAGATTGCGTTTTTCTGCGTGGGCAGCCGAGGGGGTCGGACCCCTAGACCCACCCTGTACACGACCCTGACCTGACTCTCATCTGACCCTGGGTCTGGTTGCTGATATAGGGGCGCTAGATTACACGTATATACATGATAATATGTACGCGGCCAAATAGTACGGGTAGTTAAATTATTGGAGAAGCATATTGGCGCCTTACGGTAAAAATTTATGGCCTTTGAAAAAGTGACGCGGCGAGTCGCCGCTGGCTGCGCGGCAGTTCCGCGCCCGTTGGCTGTCGGGCGATGGGGTGGGGTAGCACGCGTGGGGGCGTGGCGCGGTCTGTTGTTTATGGCTGTGTGTAGTGCTGTTGTGTATGTGCTGTTGTGTGATCGTGTGTGTGTGTGTGGTGTGTGCCTGTGTGTGTGTGGTGTGTGATGTGTGTGTGTGTGTGTGTTGTGTGTGTGTGTGTGTGCATGTGATTGTGTGTGTGTGCTGGTGTGGTGGTGTGTGTGTGGTGTGGTGTGATAAGCGGGGTGTGTGCCTATTGTGTCCCTGTGACCCCTGAACATTTGATGTAGACCGTTCTGGGAGCTGGCCTGTGCTGTGATTCACGGGGTGTTGATGGATCCGGGAGGGGGGGGAGGGGGATGGGGGTGCGCATGATTTCCTGATTGTTTATGTTACGGTGGAACATGCTTTACTACTGATCATGAGCGGTGGATTATATTGTTTCCATGCCATCGAAGCGTTCGCGTGACGTCAAGTGTACGTCACGTACGAACTCGGCTATCTCGAAGTAATTAGTTTGATGCATACAGCTTAGCTGCTGATGGCTACGTCAGCACATTTAACCTGATGCAAAAACCTTAACCCTTCCCTTAACCTAACCCTAACCCTAACCCTAACCCTAACCCTAACCCTAACCCTAACCCTAACCCTAACCCTAATTAAATTTAATTAACACTAATACTAACACTAACACTAACACAAAATAGTTAAATGGATAAAGATAGAAAAATAGAAAAATAAAAATAATAAACAGATGGGATTCGAACCAACCACCTCAAGAAGAAACTTCCGGCGCCATACGCGCTGCGCTATTTTGGTTTGCTCGAATGATGTATTATGGATGTGCCCTATATGCATACATGGATGGGCGTGCGTGATTGGTCTATGGTGGTGACGTCACACTGACGTACACTGACATCACGCGAACCTTCGATGGCATGGAAACATATATCCACCGATCAGGAATGGGCTGCCCCTGAAAACGAAAGCAAAACCTCTCGGCTGTCTATTCTCAGTAGCGAGCGTGCGCGTCGATGTTTTTATAGTTGAGTGCAGCGGTGTAGTTGTAACACAATTTGCTAGAGAGTTCTATCCGCTGATACATCTTGGAGTAAAAAAAGGGTTTTGAACATATTTGTATGGATTCTTGCACACTCGCGGTGCCACTGTAGCCAGTTGATAACGTGCCGATCAGCGCACGCATCAGGAAACATTTGTCTGTGAAGTGTGTTAGAGGAGTGTTTAGAAGAGGTGAAGTGTAATTAGAAGAGGTAAAGTGTTAGAATAGGTAAATCTGGAGTGGTTAGAGGTGAAACCTGCTGGCAAAAACGGGAAACAAATGAAATATAATATAGCCTAAGGACACAACAGAAGCAGTCAGATACTACTTGATTACAAATTACGGTTATTTCAAGGCTGGCATATATTCTTTGTCACTGCATGGCTCTACTATTGCTGTACAGCTATAGCTAGTGTTATTGTGTGTGGTTGTTATTTAGTGTGACCTTACGGTACCCGAACCCACCTGCTGTCGAGTTAGCTCTGAACTATACCCCTTCACTCTGCCACAGGCCTGTGGCAGAGCGAAGTGCCCAAGGATAAAAGAGCTGTCCACATTTGCACATATCGCACATTTGCGAAAATGCATTGGTGACAGCTCTTATATCCTTGAACCGAGCGGGCCGCTATAGTTATAGAGATACTGTCGAGTGTACCTTTGTGATGTCGCTTGTTAACATTGGACGTATTGTTTGTGTAGTTATAACTTAGTAACACGTTTTTAGGTGAACCGGTGAGTTTGTGAGTCATGTCACACAAAAAAGAGAAAAACTGATGAAGACAGCGGCTACGTGGGTTTATCAAAAATGATACGAGACTACCAGGTATAGTACCATATATACGCACTTGCTATGCTTTCTGGCTCAGTCGTGCAAAACTATTGGGTCTTCTTTCGTGACTGTTTTGCCTTTTGGCTTGCTTTGTTATGGAATGTCACAAAGAGACAGGCTGCTGTCATGCACTTGGGTGATATGAATTTTGGTTGGGTCTAGTAGTACCCAACCCATTTAGTCCATACGTTTAACTGCATGATTTGTAAAATTTAGTGAAAAGATGTAATCCCGACAAATTTACAAACATATCCTGGTTTCCAAACGTTTTTTCGGGTTTTTCCTTCCTGTGACATGGATGACTGGTATACCCAAATCACCCAAAAATATCAGGTATGTTCCGGTTCCTGAAAAATTAAAAGGGTCTTAGCTCTATTCTAGATACAATAATGTAACCCAAACCCAAGAGGATAGGGGGACCCCTATCCTCTTGGGTTTGTCCCCCTATCCTCTTGGGTTTGGGTTACATTATTGTATCTAGCTCTATTCCTGCATCTAGAAAATAATTATCCCGCCTTCAATTTACAATGCTTGAATATACATTATGTGTACAGTGGACATGCACCCATGATTGCTATAAGGGTTGATGCTAATGCTAATGATGTTGCTCCATGGAACTTTGGAGCCACGTGCTAAAAACTATAACCGTTTTTAGCTCACCTTGACATCGTCAAGCTGAGCTATTGCCATATGGGTCGTCGTCCGTCGTACGTCCGTCCGTCCGTCCGTCCGTCCGTCCGTCCGTCCGTCCGTCCGTCC